GTAATACATCAGGTGTATGATATATGCATCGATTTCCTAAATATAATACAAGGAGAGTATGAACAGAATACAGTAACTGTAACTCACATTGTATTTGTCCATCTGTCTGTAGTTTTCTTTTTCGTATTTGTCATTGTATTTCTTGTAGCTGCTCTTTTCGTGGTCATTATTCTTTTTGTAATTGTTCTTGACTCTTGTGAGACGACTACGAACTCTGTTAGTGAATTTATCACCCTCCCTGTTGTGTTTGTCCCTCCTGTTGCCGTTGTCTCTGTTGTGCGTCTGTTGCTGTGCCTCTCGCAGCCGTCCGCGCGTTGTGTTGTCCCTGTCTTCTGGCCTGCTGGAGGAGGAGACGGAGGCTGTGGAAGAGGAGGAGGAAGAGGCGGTATCAGAAGTGAGCGCCTCAGCCACAGGCTCATTCTTGGTAGCTCGCAGCTTGCTGAGGTAGGCGTCATGTCTCTCTCGCTGTCGTTCCTTCTTGGCTGTGTGCGAGTTGGTGTCTGAAATCCGCGAGTTGTTATTTAGTGCATGCGCTCTTAAGTATTAAATATTGGTTTAAGAGCAGGCACATCAGGACCCCCGAGCCAGGCAACTTAGGGAAACTAGTCCTAAATGGGTAAAAGACAGGGTCAGGAGTTGAGACACTGAGAGATACTATTTTAGTGCATATATTCTCAGCAAGTACACTGGAGAGGGAAGCAACAACAGACTGAGGTGCCACAATTTCATAACACCTACAATAACGAGGTATACAAATTGCTAGTTGCTTTAAGCAAGGGCCCTGTTAGTAATAGCTGAAACAAGAGTGATGTATATTACGACGATCCTAATCTGTGTGGATGATTCACCGCAGAAAATGACGGTTTCATATTTCATATGCTATCGCGGTCTTTTCTTTTTTTCGTCCTGTTAGGCTGTTGGTGATGGCTCAAAGACAGGTGGAACTTACGGTCAGATGCTATCCACTCCAGAGAGATGTGACGTTATTTGAAATGATGACATAAGTAGGTTAACTAGTCAATAATCCTGGTTATATCTGAGCTTCCCCAGATGTGAGAACAGTACTCTAAACATGGGTAGACGGGCAGCTTCCCAGATGTGAGAACAGTACTCTAGACAAGAACAAGTAAGACTTTGTAGAGCTGAAGAAGTTGGGAAAAAGTAAAATATTTTCTGAACCTGAAGAGAATTCCAAACGTTACTCAGACATCCTGGGCAATATTAGGAATGTGAAGCTACCCGGACAAATCACGAGCGACTGTCAGGTTCAGGATATTGATAGACTTTTGGAGTTTTATATTTGAACTTTCGAGGTAAACACAATAAATAATCGGCAAGTGTTTGTTTTAGTTTTGAAGCCAAAAATCATGATTTAATACAGATTAAATAACAGAGATGTAAGTGATCCAAGACGCGTTAACATTAACTTGATGCAATACTCCAGGTATTTGTAGATAGCACTGACTGTACTGTGAAGATCATTTGTAAACAATGGTAAGAGAGGAGACAAGTGAGTGCTCTGCGGAACACCTCAGTTGATTAATGAAGACGATGAATAATTTAACAAGCTGGACCTGTCAGAAGGAAAGCTAAAACTTTATTTGCAAAAGAGTGGAAAACCGGTTTGGCAGAATGGATAATAGATTTTTTTTTCTGAATACATTGCTAGAAGTTTAAAAAATGCGCAGAGCTATGGCGAAATATTGGCAGATGAAAGACCAGTGTGGAAGGAAAGAGAAGTAACAAGGTTCTTATGGAACCCATCCTGATGATGACAGTAGCGAAGTGAAAAGATAATGGATGTTTTTGAGAAGTCTCTCTTGTGGACGTCAAGACAACTGGAGTCCTTTCTTTCTTCCTTCACGATGGGTTCTTGATGCAAAGAACTGCATCTGTCTTCCCCTCTCATGGATCGAACCTGATTTCTTCCCATTCCCACAAACATTGCATGACCCCCCATTCCTATGGGTTTAGCGCTTAGCCTTAAATATAATAATATACAGGTTTTTGCATGAGACGTCATGGGCTGCTGACTCATGTCGGCCATATTGGACGTCTAACCTCACTGACAATCACGTATACATGCCACACACACACACACACACACACCACACACACACAACACACACACACACACACACACACACACTACATACAACACACACACACACACACACACACACACACACACACATACATACACACACACACACACACACACAGGTTTGTATACAGCTTGGGTGCTCTTGTGTCACCACCACGTAATCCACGTTAATGCTCTTGTCTCTTCCTCTTGGAGAGTTCAGCAGGTCCATAATTCCTGCCTCGCCTCCTGCAGCCACTCTCATAATGGGCTGTTTGTAATGAGCTTTGGCATTGTAAGAATTACCTCAAGTAGTATTAAAGTTTAATCTCGTGCCACTGACACTGGTTCATGACACTGCCACTGACTCATGACACTGACACTGACTCATGACACTGACATTCTAATGAGTTAAACTAGAAAATCTTCTGAAAGAACGCATCTCTTGAAATTCATCTGATATACACCAGGAATCTACGATAAGTTACTCTGATCTCCACCAGGAATCTACGATAAGTTACTCTGATCTCCACTGCTGTCTCTACTGGGAACCTGTTCATAAATAAACTCTCCTGATGCTGAAAAAGAACTCCAGACCACCAAAAGTAACTCATGATAAAGCTCTAAAGATGTAACATAAGGTTCCGGCATAACAGCATACAAGGTGTACTAGCAGGGCCGACTGCTGTACCCCGCCGTAATTCGATAAACTAATGTATTTACATCTGACAGTATGGTCTCTCATTCTGTACAATGATGCTACCACCAGGTCAAGTTATCAGACTTGGAAAAGCCGTTATAGCAGGTGAATTGTCATAAATAAATGGTCCATTTGTTACTGGCATGTCTTACAAACAGAATTGCCGTAGTCCTGACATCAATGCGCCCAATTATAACATCAACGATGTTGAACAACACAGTTATACAGGAGACTCTTATGAAGGATACTACTGAGCACCGAGCACTGAGCACCGAGCACTGAGCACTGAGCACCGAGCACTGAGCACCGAGCACTGGCACTGAGCACGAGCACACTGAGCATCGAGCACTGAGCACCGAGCACTGAAGCACCGAGCACTGAAGCACGAGCAACACTGAGCATCGAGCACTGAGCACAAAGCACTGAGCACCGAGCACTGAGCACCGAGCACTGAGCATCGAGCACTGAGCACCGAGCACTGAGCACCGAGCACTGAGCATCGAGCACTGAGCATCGAGCACTGAGCACAAAGCACTGAGCACCGAGCACCGAGCACTGAGCATCGAGCACTGAGCACCGAGCACTGAGCACCGAGCACTGAGCACCGAGCACTGAGCACTGAGCACAAAGCACCGAGCACTGAGCATCGAGCACTGAGCACCGAGCACTGAGCACCGAGCACTGAGCACCGAGCACTGAGCACAAAGCACCGAGCACCGAGCACTGAGCACCGAGCACTGAGCACTGAGCACCGAGCACTGAGCACCGAGCACCGAGCACTGAGCATCGAGCACTGAGCACCGAGCACTGAGCACCGAGCACTGAGCACCGAGCACTGAGCACTGAGCACAAAGCACCGAGCACTGAGCATCGAGCACTGAGCACCGAGCACTGAGCACCGAGCACTGAGCACCGAGCACTGAGCACAAAGCACCGAGCACCGAGCACTGAGCACCGAGCACTGAGCACAAAGCATCGAGCACCGAGCACCGAGCACCGAACACCGAGCACCGAGCACCGAGCACCGAGCACCGAGCACCGAGCACCGAGCACTGAGCACTGAAGTCACTTTCATGCTGGGGTCCCAACCTTACATCTTAGCTGTTCGTTATATACCCGAGTCTGTCCGGTGACTTTCGCTGAGGACAGAAGTTCCTGCCCAACCAAACGAAGCCTTTAAAGAAAGCACACAGAGAGCTGCCATACATGTTATTTTCCTGAACAACTCTCAGTATTTATGTACCTCTCTCACCATCATGGTTGAGCAATGGCATAAAATACGAACAAGATGGGAAAACGGACACAAATGTGAATCTTTACTGAGTACGTTGCGGCCACACAGTGGACTTTATCAAGTCACAGTCAGATCTACCTGAGGAAAGAGTACATAAGTGTATATACTCACGTACTCCCTCTCTCAAAATGCACCCATGCGGGTTTCTCGCTCGCTTTGTAATGCAGTGTTAATAACTCAGGTTAGTTAGTGTGCTACCTACGTGACGCTGGCAATAAATAACTAATTAGCTACCCATAATGCAATGCAAATAATAATTCACACGGCTGATTAACTACCTATAATGTAATACAAAAAATAACTGAAATAACTTCTTGACTACAATACTGGAAACTGTTGTTGTTGGCAAAGTTCTTTCCATTTGTGACGTTCATCACAGGTCAGGTATATACAGTGTGTGTACTCTGGGAATACTGGTCAGGTATATACAGTGTGTGTACTCTGGGAATACTGGTCAGGTATACACAGTGTGTGTGTACTCTGGGAATAATGGGCAGGTATATACAGTGTACTCTGAGAATACTGGGCAGGTATATACAGTGTGTGTACTCTGGGAATACTGGACAGGTATATACAGTGTGTGTACTCTGGGAATACTGGGCAGATATGTACAGTGTGTGTACTCTGGGAATACTGTGCAGGTATATACAGTGTGTGTACTCTGGGAATACTGGGGAGGTATATACAGTGTGTGTACTCTGGGAATACTGGGCAGGTATATACAGTGTGTGTACTCTGGGAATACTGGGCAGATATATACAGTGTGTGTACTCTGGGAATACTGGGCAGGTATATACAGTGTGTGTACTCTGGAATACTGGGCAGGTATATACAGTGAGTGTACTCTGGGAATACTGGGCAGGTATATACAGTGTGTGTACTCTGGGAATACTGGTCAGGTATATACAGTGTGTGTACTCTGGGAATACTGGGATATCTTTATGTTGTAGACATTTCGCCATCCAGTGGCTTTATCAATACAATACACTGACATAAACTGGAAACCGTAGAAATATGTGCAAAAGATAGCAGAAGGTGAGATAGTAGTCAGTCCCTCATCCTAGGAGCAGGTGATGAGCACGGGAGTCTTGAAGAATTTGAAGTACAGGCAGGACGACTGGTACTCATACACTGGAATCAGATGAGCTACAGTAGACACTGTTATTGCAGTAGGCATTGTCTCTAGTAGGTGGGATTCCCAGTGGAAGTACTGTAGGTCAGGTCCAAGATTTGGGCCAGAAGTAGCAAGTAGGTTTGGAGATGTCTTCTGTGCCAAGATTCCATAATGTTGCTACGTCTGACAAGATGTATAGAGGTCATCTCCACAACCTATCCGCTAACTCTTGGACATAACCTACAATACTTCCACTGGGGAATCCCGTCTATCAGTGACAGTGTCTTCATTTACTGCACCTCAGGTGAC